GAGAGCTGATACCATTGCATATTCTCGATAAATGACTGAATGGCTAGACCGCCAAAGTAAAGGCTATGTAATCTTAATGTCGACATTATTTGACTTGATTACCGAGTCAATAGCAGATGAAGCTCTAGTTGAATGGGGTAGTGTAAATCGTAGCACAGTTATAATAGGTCTTCTTTGAACTACTGAAGTGTCAGACTTAACTCTCTAAAAGTTTTCTCTTAGCCCCTACTTACCTTGAAAAAATTCCCAGCCAGGGCTGCTTCGATTCAACCACAGTGATTTTCAAGTGACAGAGACCGCGTGGTATTTTGGTATGGAAGTACCAGAACGGACAAGAGGTCGTGAACTTCCATACCAAAATACCACGCGGTCTAATATATATATATATAGATAAATAGTGTGATAAATACTTCACCGCTGACACTCGCTTTTACTGTGCACATCTTTAATAGTACATAAAAAGTGGACAACTGTGTCTATATTCGGTCTCCCTGCAAATTCAAATGTTTTGCGCAACATTTGGGTTCATTATCTTCCATTAGTTTTATTTCAGCCACCAAGTTTTGGTTTCTACATATTGGCTCCGGTAATTATCCTGTTCATGGATCGATTGATGGGTATGCGTCATGACTACAAAAATTTGGAAATTTTGAGTGCAAAGACGCTCTCATCAAGTTAGTACTTTATATTTTCGCAGATTATGTGTGTTCTGTGCTTTTGATCAGTTATCCTTTCATAGGCATTAGGTTTATTTCTTTGAATTTTTATTGCTTTGGCAGTCAACGATCCATAATTGTGCAAGATTACTATTTTTTGCGGTTGCTTAATCCACGGTTCTTCTTCGTCTGCCATATATCAGGGGTAAGGTAACTATCATCTTTATAGTTCACTGTCCAGATTTTTTAACCAATGAATGGCATCCGTGGTAGCATTCTGGATATCAGTGATGTTGCAAACAAACTTTCGCAGTCGGCATTCATGAATAATGCGCTGGTTAGTCT